ATTTTAGTAGGTATTATAGATTTAAATAGAGACCCCAAATTTCAGCATCAGCCGTTTTCAGCATCAGCTGCGACATTTATTAATTTCATATTATAATTATAGAAGAAAGATAGAATTTTGTTATTTTATTATTTATCCACCCGGGTTACCCGGGTCATGATTTTTCAGACGGGTCCAACCACTAGACGAGACTACTATATTAACATCATTCACGTCCTTGATGCACAGTCATTTTTGGAGCTTCAACGTTATTCAAATATTCTGTGATTAGTTCATCACGAACTTCAGGCATATGGCTTAAAACTAAATATCGAGTATCCTCCTATAGAAACATTAATTTATTAAATTTATTTTATTTATGAAGCAAAGTACAATTTCAAATGAATAAAATAAACTACCTTGAGCACATCATGAATTTCTTCTTTAGTCAATCCACGAGCTTTCTCTTTCTCTGCGCCTGTCTCGTCTTTTGCTCCATTTTCTGATAATTGAACCATGCGCGTCCTATATTCTATGAATTGATTTTCTTTTAAGAGTTCTAAAAATTCTTTTTTAGCTTTTTCAATCTCTCTGGCCAAGTATTTGTCAAACAATTCTTCCAAAAGAGCTTCATTTTTTGAAAGCCGCACTGCGCGTGGATCTTCTTTGATAATTGGCTGAATTTCAATCCACGTAGTGTCTAATTTTAGATGTTCACTAAGAAGTTGATGATACGATTTTAGGCGCTTTTGGTACATATCTACAGTATGTTCATTAAAAAGGCGTTCTCTATCATTATCTTCAAGGCCTTCGCCATGGAAACGTGGATCCTGTTCTAGGCTATGTTTCTTTCCATCCCACGTGGCCTTTATATCACAATGGACATTTAGAAAAGAACATGACATATTAAAGAAATATGTTGAACAAAAAATTTTAACATACTTCGTGCGTCCGCACTAAATCAATTAAAAGAGTTTGGAATGCAAGAATGGACTTTTCACGCATCGCCTTCCTTTTCGCAGAATTTCTATCAAAATTCTGATAACGCCTTTCACTTCTCACTTGAGCTTCTCTATTTTTTAAACTTGCTTCTTCTCTTGAGATAGTAAAATATAAATAAGATCATTAGGTCTACTAATATAATAATATAAAAACCAAGGTTATCATGAATACCTTTCTTTTCGTTCCCGTTGCTTCCGTTCATTCTCTTTCCTTGCCATTTCTTCTTCATCTTCCGCCTCAAGTTTTTGACAATATTCTCTGAACAACTCTTCCCTTAAACTTGATGATTGTACTGCGATATATCGCGGATCATCATCAATTAACCGTTTTACCTGGAATATATAAGCATTACTAACGTGCATACTAAAATAAATTTAAATAAGTCAAACTGATAATACTTTGCGCCAACTGGAATCAGGTTTTATTTCTCTCATTTCCCTCAAGAGTTTCATAAAATCTTCCTGCGCCTTTTTTTGTTGCACTCTTTTACCTATAAATAAAATTTAGTCGATATATGTTAAGAAGAAAACATATAAAACATCATAATTCCAAATATATACATAATCAATTAAGAATCGTTCATACGTTCTGCTTCCACCTCCTTCAATTCATGGATATGCTTACGGAATACCTTTTCTCTTTCTTTGTCATCCGAGAAATTTTTGAATCTAGGATCCCTTTTAAATCTTTTTCTAAAAGAGTCCCAATGAGAACGGTGAGACGTTTCTTCTTCGAGAAGTTTTAAATACTCATCTTTGGCAGTTAAGTCCTGTAAGAAAATATATATTAAACATTGGAGTGTATCTAATTGAGTACTAAAGTATTTTAAAGATTTATTACTTAGAGATATATTACTTTGGCTTTATTGATCTTTTCTGCTCTCACTTCCACAACTCGTTCCTTACAATATTCATCAAAAATTTCTTTTCGCTGCTTCAATGTTGGAATTACTATGTGAAAGTTTACGGAATAAATCAAAGTATGTTGTCTAACGCAAGGTACGATCGAATAGAGAAAAAGAAGAAAAAGAAAATACATACAAACAATCATAACTTACATGTATATCTTGGATCATGTATAATCCTTGGCAATTCTTTTTCCCACATTGCAAATGGTGACACATCCATCTCCCTCAAAAGAGACTGTAAATAACAAGATAAATGAATATTATTTTTGTGGCTAAATACAAAAAAATACGTTATATTCATTATTCTTACTTTAAACATTAGCATACGTTCTTCGGGTGAAAGTTCCACCTCTTTGTCTTTGTCTTTAATTTGCATTTGAGAATCCTCATCACCTATATCATGAACGGCAGAATTATCATTATCACCTGAATCACCACTACCCGTTGTAGACAATAGCTCTTGTCGTTCTTGCTCTTCCATAAATTGAAGCTGAAAGGCAATGTCTTCTTCTGTCAATCTAAAACAATCAGTAAATTAATAGAATTAATAACGAAAATAAAAATAAAATAAAAAATAAAAGAAACATACTCAGTTCCTTCATTTACAACATTGTCTATGCCTCCTTTAGCTCTCTTCACCTCTTCGCTGGTCATTTGCTCTTCATCATTTGCTTTTCTTTTAACTCCAGCAGTATCTTGTAATGCTTGAGCATTCCTTTCTTCCGATTCTTTAAATGCTTTTACGGCATCTGCAATTTCCTCAGGAACTTGCCATACAGACTGTTTTGTCTCAGAATTGAAATAAAACTCGTTACC